CGTGTGAACAGCCGAGAGGGACTAGGATGCTCCACTGGCAGAACTTCTTACGTGGGAGCAAGGAAACATGGAGTGGCCTTCTGCTATGGGGTCGGGGGTCTCTGTGAAGCCTATAGGATTCCAACATGTTTCAGACTAATGCTTTTATTAACAGTTGCAGCTGAATGTGCCAATTTTTAAAGCAAGACTTCTGGTGCTTCTGCAGTGTTTTTAGACATTATCCTATGCATTGGAAAATCTTAAAAGACCATTCTTATTTAGTGTTCTGTAATCCAGAGCTTTAACTGAGATGGGCTCCTCCATTCTCCATCTTTGCTGCTGTGAGCCTAACTGGTGAGAGAGGCACTGGCTGCTTCCCAAGGAAGCCAAGGGGGAGTCAGCTTGGCTGCATTCCTAAGGCCTGTTCTGTCTCTCTTTCACAGTGCAAGATGGAGTTCCACTCTTGTTCTACTGGCAAAAGCCTCATCACGCTCTGCGATGGGCCCTGTCCATGTCTCCCGGAGCCCGAGGCACCGAAACACAAGGCAGAAAAGAACGGTGAGTGGGGACCACAGGAAACTCCCTGAAGAAGGGATGGGCGGATGGGGAGGGCCGGCATGGACAAGCTCTGCCCTGATGCCATCGACGTGGCATTTATCAGAGCCACCCTCGGCCCCACAGGGGCGAGGGGCTCCCTTGGTGAGTCCCACAGCTTGTTTAGGGGCTCTTACCTGAACAGCCTTTAGCTGCCAGTTTCAGCTACCGTTAAAAAGGAAAAGAAGAGCCGAGAATCTTTGGAATTAATTCCATTAGACCAAGATGTGCACTGTGTTGAGAGGTCAAATTGGCTATGGTGTAGGAAGGGTAGGGTTTTCAGCATCTCACACCAGGGCCTGCCCTGGGGTCTATTTTGGTCTTCCCTTGAACTCTAATCTCTAAATCCTTTGAACTTCTCAAGGCCAAATTTCAAAACAGACTGCAGAGATGTCATAACGAAGGAGGGCACCGCGCCCAAAGTATTTCTGTATTAATGTGTTCTACTTGGAATACAGCATGGAGCCAGGAGACAAATGAAAGGAACATCCCTCCCCAGGGGCAGCAGCTTCTCTTCCATGGTGGAGAGGGCAGGAAGGTTGGGCTTATTTGGGTGTTTTCATGGTGGAGAAAGTAATGTCATCCACTGGTCTCAAGTACTTTTTTGAAGCTTCCTTAATGAGACCGAAGATAGAAGTTTGCATTTGCCTTCCGTGGAGCTGGGCTTTCTCAGTTATCACTGACTAGTCCGTGGAAAACCTTGCACGTCTGTGTGTGTGTACGTGTGTGTGTGTGTGTGTGTGTGCGTGCGGGCACACACATGCAGGCATGTGTCTTCTATTTGTAACAGAGGAGGACAACCAGGGTGTGAGTGTATCCATTTGCCTCTTTATAAGTCGCACTATCTTTTCCAAGGCACATAGATGCCACTCACGTCTGTATTTGTTCATGGTGGTGACTACAGAAATGTCGTGGTAAAGGGCTCTTGAGGAGGTTTAGCTCAATGTGGCAGGACACCATAAACCATAGAGCAAATAATCTCCATAGATTACCCCTGAGTACCAAAAAGCTGATCTCGTTGATTCATTTCTGTAACTGCAGTAAGAAATGTTAATGTGCATAAGCCCCCTTGTGGTATGGGCAGAAAACTTAAAGCCATGTGGTTTTAAGTTAGGGCAACTATGGAATCCAGACAACTAACTTCTGTGTGGAGATTTCTTAAGAAACTTCTTAGGAAGCTTCAGTAGCCTCTATTATTCAAGGTATATTGTTTATTGCTTATATTGACCCTTCTATTCTGAGGCCTGGAAACCAAACCAAGAAACTCTTCTCCACCATTTTGCCTGTGGTATCTATAAATGAGAGTGAGTGCATCGATTCTCAAGGGCATCCAGCCATGCTTAGGGCCTTGTGGTTCTCCAAATGAAGTGCAGCCCCTATTTCTTAATGGCGAGATTGTCACACCTGATTAAACGGATTCACTCTCAAATCTGACACCCCAGGTATGGCCTTGACTATGCCAACTATTTGTTCAATTATGTACTGGTAAAACAATAGAACAAATTCTGGGTGGCTCCATAGCGTAGTAGTTAGTATGTCAGCTTTACAAGCAGAAGGTCCTGGGTTTGCGCCCTGGTGGAGCCACAGACCACACCCCGGGGGCCCCAGGCCCCTGGTGCACCTCGAGTGCATGGGAGGAGACGCCCCACCTTCAGAGATCCAATTCTTAAGGGGAGACAGCAACATCCATAGGTCAGGGGTGGAGGTGGGGTGGGGGGGGGAATTAATAAAGAGGAGGGAAATAAATAGAACAAATTCTTATTGAATCTATGCGAGTAGCTACATTGCTGTTAAAAATAAAGAGACTCAGGAAACAGTGCTGTTCGTGAGTTCTGAGATCTCTGAACAAGAATACCATTTAAAAGCGTTTCATTTGAAAATGTTTGTAAAAGCAGAGACTACTAAGTTAATGGTGAGAGCTAGATCAAGAAGGAGGGGAGAGGAATTCCTCATATACCTATCAGAAATGAGAACAAGAAAAAATTAGAACAACACTGTTCCAGAACAATCAAAATTATATTTCCCTTATCAGTTCTTTGAGTTGTAGATAATTATTTTTTGTTCCACTGGTTCTTGGGTCAAGTTTGCTTTTATGAAGTCATCTGCCTCTGGAAAGAGCCCTGGAACTCCACACACAGTCTCCGAAATCTGGCATTTGACTAAGGAATATCACTTAGAAGCCTGGGACAGTGAGTCTGTTACTTGAATTATCAATCAAACTTGGCGCAGTTCTTTCCATGAGGCTCTGAGACTGTCCTTTTGGTTAAGGAAACCAATTTCTAGGCCGTGACTTACAGCAGTTTTTGTATAAGCACGAGGAGAAGGAGAAACTACCTGTTGATGATAAAACCGAATGGCCATAGTTAATTTATTACATATCCAGCAGTATCCTAAGGGAGGAAGGTATAATCCCCTATCAGGGTAGAATGTTAAACTGTTTAATATGGATTTGATGGGTGTTTCCCTGGAGGATAAGGACATATTATGGGCGGTGAGGACACTGATAAATCCCTAGGGTCATTACATGAAACGATTAATAACATTTTACCTGGACAAAATTTATTAAGAGAAGGCTGACCTTTTCCTTTGATTTGACAATTCTTTCCATGCAGCTCTCAATTTGTAACAGGCAATGAGTACTGAGCTGAGGTGGTAGCACTTGGTATGAAGAGGGAAGGACGGGTATGTGGGGGAGATCAGAAGGGAAATGGAAGGCAGCTTGCTTTTGGCAACTTGGCTGTGGGGGTGGAGGGAGGAGGAGGAAGGATCCTGTGGTGTATCTACCAATACTTGTCAGCTGCTCCTTGAGACACACCTTGGCTCTGGACTGTCTCACAAATGCAGATGTATCAAAATGTGGCGCTGTGTTGCCGTAGTTGATATTTTATTTTCAGTCTTAGCTCTGCTTTGAACCTTGGTTCCACCCGATATTAACATCATTAATGTAGTCACTTCCAGGTCGTGTCTGTCAATTCAGGGTTGTATCTGAATTCTAGGAAATGAGGAGGTTGTTAATGAGTGCACTCTTGGTGGGAAGTGGCTTCTGGTGTTGTTTGTCTTTGCATCCGCCTTAACGGAGTTCTTGCCATCTCAGTCAGTTGGCCCGTGGTATTCATCCTCACCGCATCCAGTGGGAGATGTTTGAGATGCCATCTGTGGCCTCTGCTCACTATGTCCATTAAAGTCATACTGCGTCTTCTTTCTTTTATGCCTTACTCTTCTGGATATGCAGATCCTGACACAGCCCCTCCCTGGCCCCCTCCAGGGCCACAGAAAACTTGAGGATGCCCTTCTATGAACTCTTGTGTCAAGAAAGGCTGATGAGGTTGCTATCTCAAGCCCTCTTTCCTTGGATCTGTCTGGCAGCCATTTCTAGTCTATGCAGAGGATATTTTTATGAGGCTTGCCTCAAACTGGATTTCATATCGATAGTGAAACGCAGGTCCTTTTCGCTGCTGGGGCTCTCCACCTGTCTGGGGTTCCACATGTGCCTCGTCCCTGCCCAGGACCCAGAGTTGGTGGGAGAACTGTAGTGAGCAGAACCTTTCCTAAGTACTCACCTGCCTCTACTCCCAAAGCGTCACTTGTAGCCCCAACTTTGATCAGTACTGGATGTGAGTGTCTGTGGTACATGAGGGCAGGGTCTAACCAATTCTCTTTCGAGTATCATCGAATACTCTGCTTCTTCTAGCCTTTGGCCTTTTGAATTATAACATACCCAGCTCTTGCAAATCACAAGTCTCTTGTCTCAGTTTTAAGTTTCAAGAGCATTTTCAGAGAGTCAAAGCCAAATGGTTGATTTGATTTTTGCTTCTTCTTGTTTTTTTTCTGGTATCTCTTCTTTGATGTGGCCCCTGAAGACATGGCAGAGGGTGGGGGCATCCTTTAATATCTCTGAATGTTTCTTCTCGCACCTCTAAATTGCCTCCCTACCTTGGATAAGTTACGTAATTGCTTTATATCTCTTATCTCTATGATACCGGTCCAGCCTCAAGAGTATAGAGTAATGATTGTCCTAAAAAAAAAAGAGAGAGAGAGAGAGAGAGAGAGAGAGAGAGAGAGAAAGAATTATTAAAAAGAGGGAGATGAAACTGAAATCTAGTGTTGAGCCTGGGTTTCTGTGCTTTGTCTACCAGACTTCCAGGAAAGACACCCTCCCTCGCCCCAATTTCTCTCGGTATTTTTCAGTACCCAGAAGCCAGCCCAGCCAGGAAGCCATTTCTTATATCTAACGTTAACTCTTTAGCTTCAGGGTATTGCCGTTGCTTTTTCTTCAGTCCTCACTGAAGAATACGAGGGATGTCTGCGGTACTTATTTCCTGATTTCTTCACAGTGGTTAAAAATCTAAGGGAAAAATAGTGGTTTCTTACAATTAGAATCTTTAAGATACATTTTTAAACTAGCCAACACTTCTCCCCTTCCAAACCCGAGCCTGTCCCCATCCTGCCTCCCCACCCTCTTTCACAGACATGGACCACTCGCCCTTGGCCTGGGCTTGGCAGTTTTGTTCCATCCAGGGGAAGGATTTGGAGCTCCCTCGTTGCTGAGGTGAAAAATTTTCAGTCGTAGGATATAAGATATCAGATCAGGAAAGACCGTACTTGTTTTCTTCCATACGTTGTTGAGGGTTCTCTCGTGTTCTTGCCGGTTTCCCCATCAGAACCAGGGGAAGGCCACATGGGTGGGGTCCCAACCTCCGTCCCAGTGACTCCATTTCGATGCTCTGCCATGTTAGATAGCACCTGTAGGAAAAGAGTTTGTTCAGTGCCCATTTAACAGAAGAGGAAACTGGAGACCCACGAGAGAAGGAATCAGACAATGGGTTGGGGTGGAGCTGGGGAGAGCTTGGAACTAGAGCCTTTGTTCGCACCCTGTGGGACACCCTTAGGTCATGGTCAGCAGAGAATCCAGCCTGAGGATAATAGAGGGTCTGTAGCCGAATTTGGTGGTGGTTACATTTAAT